TCTCCGAAAAAGCTGTTCACATTTCTTGTGACAGAAAAATTTGCATCCTAACAAAACGTAGATCTCTATGTTCAAACCAATTAACACATCAAAAATCCACCGCAAAACTTGTCCATCTCCCCAGAAAACAAAATATTCATCTTCCCACCTGCATGAATCTGTAAATTTTTAACATGATCCAACAAAAATGATATGCTAATATTCTAACAATGCATAACAAACAGCCAAACCTCCAAGAAACATCATCTTAAAGGATCAACTTCATGTTATTCTGGTCACTATCATTTCATATATTCCAGTAACAGAGCCGTTTTCTAATTACAAAAGAGATTCTCCCCTCCTTCTGTGCCTCTTTACTGCCGTCAACACTATGCTCTCATCCCTCCATTTACAATGCATCCACTTGGTTAAAACCCAATGAACTCCGATCATTCTCACGCTTTGTTTCCGAGGAAACCAACAGAATAGTAATGAGATAGAATTGCCACACTGGTAAATAGAAATCCAATTCCAGGACAAGCAGAGCTTTGTTTCACCAAGCACCTGATGTGATGACAATTTTTTCATTGCTTGTAACTTGAACTCCCAACCTTGCTTGACAGCAATGATTTATCCTTTGAACTTGTACTCAAGACTGACTCAGAGCTGCCTGATTGACTGTCTGCAACCCCAGGTCTCATCCAGATTTTTATATGCCCCTCCCGACAAACAGTAAGAACAGATTCCTGCGTAAATATCAAGCCAGAGAGGGGTTCAGTGTGAACTCGGTGAGCAACAACCGGAGATAACTTTGGAACATCTCGCATGCTTGGGGCAGGCTGCAGAGTACCCACAGGGATTATGTTATCCCAGTGAGATGACTGACTTCCTGCACTGTACGTAGGAGATCCACCCAGGGGGTATCGACGCAATGGCACTACAATCTCATCCATCTCGAGGTCCCATAGTAGTAACTGAGTATCCTGCTCATATGCATTTAAGTAGCAATAAAGATGTTAGCAAGCACATTGAAGCACGCAAGGGGTTAACAGAAAAGAACTTCATAAAGATACAGAAATTGATAGTTTGGCTTTGTAATGAGAATCATACAACTTAAATATCACAATGAAATTTGATCAAGCTTTGTTTTCTAATCAAAGAAGTGTTTGTCAATTCAAGTTTACTGATGTCAAAGACAACCACCCTGACCAACCTTTTTTCTGTCAATTTCTTTTGACGATTAAATTACTATTTTCAAACCTTAAGAGAAAGAACTTTACTTTTCTTGTTCTGATTTTCTTCAAGTTTTGTTGGACAAAACTTCAATTTTCATACCTGTAGTATCCAAAATCTCTGCTGGGAATTGCCCTAAATTTAGTAAAATCTATTATTTTCCAATAAATTCTTAACAATTGACACCATTGCTTTTCACTCCAAACCCCTATCATTTTTCCTTAATCATAAGCCTTTCTGCATTCTTTTTCTTTTTCTTATAGGAGGACTAGAAAAAATCTGTAATAAGTATTAATTCCTATTTCACACCTTAAAAAAGTAATAATTGCTGAAAGAAAAAATAAGTAGTTATGTTATTTTTTACAATTAACGCAATAGACACAAATGTCATATTTACAGTGCAACTGCATAAGAATATAGAATAGCATTAGTAATATTAAGTATGCAAATGTTATAACAATCATGAGATCCTCTAGTACAGAACAAAAATATATACATCATTACACATTAGAAGACAGTGAAAATGCATCAATAGAACTGTTCTTTTTTTTCAGTAGTTTCAGCCAATTGTCCATGGGAACTTGGATATTGGAGAGGTCTACCAAAATCTAGTAGCACAAACCATGAACAGAGGGAGCTGCTGGTTTCATGAAATTAAAGAAAATTCGAAAAAAATCAAACAACAAATAAGTTTTCAGGAAAAACACTGCCAACTAAATAGTTCAGGTATCTTTATACTTAAGACTTCTTTAAATATAAAGCAGTGCTCCTGCATTCTCCCCATTACAAAATCTCATCGACATATTGAGCTTTAGTAACTTAATGTGGTTCTGTAGTTTCGATCCAGTTAGATCCAAATTATTCATCACAAAGTATACTAATTTCCCTATATTACTTTGACCAGAAGCCAGCATATGGCATGCAAACATATATAAACAATAATACCCTAAACACTAAAAGGATAGATCTTTGCATGACAAAGATCCAAAAAGACGTGCCTTGCAAGGGATCTAAATTTAGATTAGAGTTGAAACTATATTTGCACAATCGATAATAATTGGCATTCACAAGAAGTGAAGCATCATGTAATAAGTACATCTTAAACTGATAAATTTACAATACAGAGCAATCAAATCTCAAAGGAAATTTATCTGCATAAACCAAGTCAAATTTTCTGAAAGGATAAAATAAAATCCTGAGTGCGTTGAGATAGATCTAAATACCTGACCAACGGAACCAAACCGGTACATGACAGTCTCTTCTGTGCCATCTGAATTTGGTGAAGACCAATATGAATCGAAAGCCACCCCACTAACCTGCCAGCCGAACTCCACATGAACTAAGTAACAAGGTTATAATCATGTGCCATGGACTAAAGTAGAGCCTTCCATCAGTTAACAAGAATCTTACCCATGAATTGTGGCCCTCACCCCACGCTACAACTTTTCGATCTTCCATACTCCAAACTTGAACCAAGTCATCTTCACCTCCAGTAAGAATGTATTTTCCATCAGAACTGTCAAGCAGATCTTGTTGTCAATTGCTGTAATATCTTATGAGCAACAAAAGAAGATGCAGAAGACAAAATTGAGGCAATTGGATGCGAGTATTCAACATAAACAACCAGGTAAGATCTGAGAAACAAAAATCTCACCTCCATGCACAACACAGTAGAGCACCATAATAGCTTTTGCCACCACAAGTAAGTTGTTCTTTTGAATAGTCAAATACTCTTAGATAACCTGTGTAGTAAGAGACTTTAGTTTATTTCTTATAAAAAAGTCAAAGAGCAGATATAAAATGTAAGTTTCAAATTTGACTTATACCATCTCTTCCAACGGTGGCCAAGTACGCCCCATCAGTTGAGAAAGCAATGCTATTAATTGAACCTTGGCAAATGTGCCATCTGGAAATTGGATTACTCTGCATGTAAATTGTGGGGAGTGAAAAATAAATGATACACGGAGCAAAAGTCAAAATTAGTCAATGCTTTGGACCTCAACAACACAAAAGACAGTCAGTTTAATCGGCTTGTGCACCACATTATGGCAATAATAGTCATTATAATATAGTAAATATATTCCCCCATGCATGACGGCCAAAGCCCTCGTACAATGAATGGTGCATGTATAAATATACCCGTATGCATATATATCTAAACGCAACTGAACATGCATGTTTGTCTGCTGGTGATGATTTTGACTTAGGAGCAGTCCATAAAATTATGAATATGGACCAGAAATTACCTAATAACTGAAGCATGTTACGGTATCTAAAGAAGTATAAAGATGAGATGAAAAAAGTTGTCTACAAAACAAATATAGCATCCTAACAAGTGCAGCAATAAGAATGCCCAAATTCTTCAACATTAATTTCTCCATAACTATATAAACTAGGTTACCTAAAGCTTCTCTAAGAATCTCTATTGAAAAAAAAAAAGCTTCAATTTGTTATCTCTAAACTATTTTGAAATTTAGTCATGTTGACTTTGGAATAAAGAAGTGACAGTTATTTTCTTCTAAATTCGAATTCAAAATTTTCATTCCAAGGGCTAAGGGGCCCAATGATGATACCTGCTGCCTATCAAAGAATATTACACACTTTCCAGTTCAGGAAAAGTAGACAAAGGAAAGCACGGATCATAAAAAGACAAGCTCCAAATAGTTCTAAAAGTAAATAGACAATGCCTCAAGTACCTTACTGTAACGTGCATGAGCAACAGAAAACTGAGTTGGATCCTTTATTACAGGGAAGGAAGAATCACCAGCACCATCCTTGTTCTAGATATAAGCATGAAATTAATCAGCATGCATACAAAAACCATAACTTATTGAAAAAAAGGCGTTTCTTTAAATACTAAAACTTGCCTTCTCATAAACATACAAATTTCCATCGGCATGAGCAACAACAAAAGCACCATCCCCTCCAGGTACCCATGCAACACCAGTACAACGACTGTCAGAAACAAAAGCTTCAGCTAAACTGGATTCTGAGGACATAAAACTCAAACTTATCCGATGACTACCATGCATATTTGGAAATAACCAACATAATTTAAGTTATTCTAAGAAATAATACATGTGTCTATACTTGCACATGATAATAATTATATTTACCACTACTATAAACAGAAAAGTGAAATAAAAATTTCTCAGTGAAGAGCTATAAATGAAAAGAAAATATATAACTCCTAGGTACTTTCTCCCTGTGCCTAAAATTATAGAAACTACTAACCTAACAGTTTTCGCAGGCCGCTTTTTCAATTTTCCTACAAACATCATTAGCCCTATAGACAAGATAGTGAGTGTATCAGTAGCACCGCAACAGACCCAGAACAAAATTTTTTTGTACTTTAACATGATATAATTTTTGCTGTCCTCTTCCAAATATTAAAATCTTTATTGTGATAACAAACCCAAAATAAGGGTGCAATTCACTTATAACTCCAGATTACCCCAAATTGTGTTAATGTATTGATAATTTATTTCTAACTTCAACCTTATGCAAATAGTGTTCTTTCCTGAAATGAATGCACATGGGATATAGAAAGTATCTTTGTGATTATAATTTTTCTTACCGAGAGCTCATAAGCTTGCCACTTAATGGTATTTTATATGCATTACAACATATTGAAAAATAATTAATTCAGCTAACTCTTGCCTGTTACTAACAGAACCATCTTTGTTATAATGTTGTGCCCCAACGAGCTTCTTTCCAACGTCCTGTAATTGCTGTCTCAATGACACGGAGTAGACTACAATAATACAGAAAACAGATAAATTTGCACAAAATTCCCACGAAATATAAGGTTGAAATCCAAGATAGATACATTACCATCACCAGAGTTCAGTCCAATAAGCAAATCATGCCCATCCTTCGCATCCTGATCAAATGCATGGCACACTGGGTTTGCATTACTGAAATGGATAGACTTTATTGGATCCTACATCCAACAAAAGACCTCTTATTGTCTATAGTCAAAAAACTCCATAACTCAGGAAACCATAACCAAGAAGTTCAGAATTTACCTTATCTTGTGATTTCAAATCGCTTATAAAGATAGCATCACCCACATTAAAGATTATGTAAGTCCCTTTCCCATCAAAATTTGTGTTAGTAATTGAATTACTTGAGCTGGAAGCACCCAATGAACCAATCCTACTAGCACTACTACTGATACTTTTACTTCCACCATTTCCTCCAACAAAGCTAAGTGCACGACTCCCCATTACCAGCACCCAACAACCTCGCTGTGGCGGATCGTAATCCACTGCTTGTACTGAAGCTTGAAGGTGGGGCTGGCGGGGTTGGTGGTGCTGGCTTGTCCTTGAGATGAGCTAGAGTAACCTAATTAACAAATATGTTATAAAAAAACAACCATCCCAAGCATGTATATACTAGAAAATTTAAGTGACAAGACGGACCAAGTAGATTGACTTTATGTGAATAAACCACAAAATCAAATTTAATGGAATAATATTGATACCACAAAATGGGCGCTAAAGAAAAACTCTACCAGATAAGAATCAACTTAAAATGCACAAGATATAGATTCTCTAGAGCGGGTGTTAGGGAAAACTATATAGCAGAAACAAATTCCAAAGCTTTCCCTATGATTCTCTTTAACCGAGTTAAGGAAAACCATCTGGACTGGCAAAAATTTTAAGGCACAGAAAACTGAGCAAAGCAAAGCAATAGAACAACCAAAACTATGGTGCCAACAAATTCGTGTAGATCAAAACCCAACACAATTTGAAAATTAACCACAGCAATCGACCATGCAAAAATAAAATTTTCAAAATAAGAACTTAAATGGAGCCCGAAAAAGGTCCATGTACCTGTGTAACGGTTTTTCCATGGGCATAGTGAAGGAGACCAGAAGGATGGGTCTTCTCGTAGTGAAGCTTGTATCTCCCTTCTGGAGTCTTGAAATAGGTCTTAAGACCCGGTGATTGCGCGTTCGCCGATGACGATGATGCCGAAATCATACCGTTGGCTGTGTTGATCATTGTATCTCCTACCATAGACGCGAGAACATGTGATCATGACACTAGGGTTTTTCAATTTCGTTTTCCTGTTCTTTTTTGGTTTTCGCTTTCTTCCCTTTCCAAGTGAGAAAGAAAGAAGCAGTGGGTATTGGTCCTCGTAACCTTCTGTTTTTTGTTTCGCTCTGTCTGCTAGGTCATCAATGGCTACCGGATCAAAGAGGTTCCGATCCTCTGGTTCATGGTTTAACAATTAGTCCGCGATTCGTGAGAGCATTGACTTTGAGGTTGCTAAAGTCAACGAAGTGGACGGCGAAGATTTGAAGGAGATGATGGGTCTCAATCTCTTATGTGAGCTTTGAAGCTATAAACCAGCAAATGATGGAAGGAGATGGAGTCTCACCGTTGAGATTTGCTTCAACAGGGAAAGTTTGTTTCTTTTCTTTACTTTACGGGTCTGTTTGGGAGATGATACTATGCATTCGACGACACCGTGTACCGCAACGAGATGATCATCATGATTTCCCATCCTCGACTATATACACCGTGATTTGCCAGGTATCCTGTCTCCTGGACCCTAACGTATGATCTGGGCCAATGGAAAATCAAATAATTATGATGGGCCTGATCAAATACGCTTATTTGGGCCTTCCAAATCTTAAAAGTGTTTGTCCAAATATACAATTACGACCAAATATTTTGGTTTAGTTACGATTTTCTGTTTACTGGTTATTAAATATTACTAACTCACTTTTTACGTGACATGTTATTTATCGTACAATTTAAGTTAGATTCATCTTTTAAGAGATTGAAATAAAAATAATAATTTTTTATAATTTACACATGAAAAATTAAAGTCTTTCAAAGATATAAAAAGAAAAAAAATATATATCTTTCTTTCTCATTCTAACCGTCTTCAATGTCCTCCATCTTCTTCAAGTCCTTTAGCTTGTAAAAATCTCGTTCTTCAATATCCTTAGTGCAAGACTTTCTCATTGTTTAGAGCACTGATTTAAGAAACTTAGATCCCCTAATTTCTTCAAGCTTTAAGAAACTTCAAGTTATTATTTAAACCACATTTCAACTATTTTTTCATGAACTCAAGTTATTAGTATTGAATATTCTACTTAATGACTTTATATATATATATATATGTATATATTTTTTTTTCTTCTTAAAATACGTATGTAGATATATTTAAATTCACATTAATGATCGATCTATTTTAGTTGAAATTTCATATAAAAATATTTAGAATGTGATTTAAATTACAAGATTTATGTTTAAAAATTAAAGATGAGAGTAGATACAATTTTGACAAGTCATTGCCTTAATAATGAGAAAAGTTTTCGCCCCATGAAAGTTAGAGATGGAAAAATATCTTTTTTAGCATGGAGAACATTGAAGCTTGAAGAAGATAATGCTGAATCACATGAAAGATAAGGTTTTAGGTAGCTGAGCTTGAGAGAAGAACATGATATGATAACTCTTTTACATTTCAAAATGTTTTTATAATAGCCATGCCCAAGAAAACAAAACTCAGTTCAAAACTGGGTATCAGAAATATAAAATGTAAAAAAAAAACGTTGTTTTCGGAAACCTCAAAATGATGTTGTTTTAATATAAAAAAAAAAACAGAAGCGTGTTTGCCTCTGGTAGAGGAAAAAGAAGAGGCGCATACGACTCTAAGATTGCTAGAGAAGAAGGAGGATAGGCATGTGGCATTCTTTGCATGTCTACCTACAAAAAGAAGATTCATGAGGAAGAAAAAGAGAGAGAGATCCCCAACATGAAAAGAGATAGATCCCGAGTGCGAAGAGAGAAAGAGAGAGATGAGAAAGGGAGGGAGAGAGAGAGAGAGAGGAGATCAGACTGGTAACATATGGTGAATGATGACCAGATTTGTGTTGACAGTGTGCGGTTGGTCACGATAGGCAAGCAAATTTGTCCAGCAAATAGGGTTCCGATGACCAGACCCTATGAAAGAAGGGATGCTTGTGGCAGTGTGTTTTCAGAGAAGAAGACTCGCAGTGGTGGCCAATGCATGATTTCATAAATTTAAGAATTTCTCGGCGCAATCTCACCAAATCAATGTTGAATTTGAGCACGTGACTCATCTTCTGGTGGTTTTCAGTTAGTTTTGGCGACAAACGATAGTTCTAATAGCGCTATGTGGAGGCGTGTATGGAGATGCGCAGTCTTCCGATAATTGTGCACAGTGAGTCCAAAAACCCGGTTCGAGTAGGTTGATCTTATACATTAGGGATAGTTTCGTGAAAGAGATCTAGACAAAAATTAGGTTAGTGCATTCATACTTTCGAGTGTGGATTGATTCTATTTAAGGGATTAAATAACGATGTCCAATATATATATATATATATATGTTTTATCTTAATTAACAATTTGGCGCAGGAAGGACCTTCCACTTGGTTTTATGAATTCTCTTAATATTTCGTTAAAATTATTCTATGTTTTTAATGTTTTATTATGTACTCTTTTAATGTCTTATTACATTTAGATTTTAATTTAGGAAGGAATGGTAAGAGGAGATGTGTTTTAGAAGAAAACAGATTGAAGATTTATTTAAAGTTATATGTAAATAATCATAATTAAAATTAAGTACGAAGTATGGGATTAAATAGGGTAGTGAACATAGTTAGAAATATTTGAATAAAATAATGGATTTAAATTAATTTAGAGATACCAAAAATAAAGAAGATCAAATTTGGGTAAAGCAAGATAATAAATTTAGTAGTGAACCTTAGGAGTAATTTAATCATAAAGTAGAAAGTTTAATAGGAGTGGAAAGAATTTAAAAAAACTGAAAAAAAAAATTTTTACTGGTTTCAAAGAGTGCATGCATAGCCAATTTGCCAAGTAAAGTGCAGTGAACCCTACCCGTGGATAACCTCAGTCATATTTGGTTGGAAAGTCCTATATATAATCGTTCTGTGTTTAGGTGTATGTAGAAAATAATAAGTGATGCCCGATGTATTTCATGTTCAGGTGCACTGGGAAAGTGAAAGTGATAAGTGATGTGATATATCCACATGATAGAGGAGATCTTTAGTGTCTTTATTGATATTGATAGAAATGGCATCGTGTGATAACAATAATAATTAGTAAAATGCAAAAATAAATAAAAGGGAATATAGAATCATGCATAAAGAATGTGGTATCGAAATTAATTAATATATAATGTTTAGTGAGGTGTTTATGCTCTTGAAGGGTGAATGATAGAAATAATTATAATTTTATATTTAGTGAAGTGTTGTATCGTAATGAATGAATGATTGAAAGTGATATGTGAATAACGCAAATAATGTAGTGAAAAGTTGATGTGGAAAAGTCGATGTAAATTGTAATTATTTTCATTATGGGAAAAGTTTTAGAATGGATTTTAAATGATTTTATAAATAAGATGACGAAATGGGTTTAACAAATAAATTAGATCTTACGCATCACGTGTTTTAAAGAAAAGAGAAAATATATTTTTAAATCTTTTCTATTGGTAGATTTATATTTTCTACAAACTTAGATGGATTGCTCTGTCATTTGCTAGTACTTATTCACTTACTGAGTATGTTAGCTCACTTTATTTATTATTTA